CCACCTACTAAGTGCTAAAGGTTAGGACAAATATGTGGAACTTCAAGTTGAGCAATGATGAGTTTAGAGTTCCTAATGGTGAGAGTTCCTTTCTAGTTTTTTAGGAATAGTCAACAGGAAAGTCCCATGGCTAGATCCTAGGTTACTAAAGAGGGAAAACTAAACCTCAACCAAAAGTGAGGTCAACAAGGCCAAAATTAGGTAATTGGGTGGTAATGTCGAGGTTTGATGCAAATGCTGATCATAGAATTACTCTCATATTGCCATGAGACCAGATAAAACCCACTTTGAATTCTCCATGTGCTGGTGTTATCCACCTTAGTCAAAGATTAAGGGTTTGGGGACCACCCACATGGGTCTCCAAAGAGGCAAGGGAACCAAACTAGACATGTGTAGATCAGGGTTCAAGGTTGCAAGTGGAAGTGTGAAGTGAAAGTATGTGTACTAGACCAAGCCACATCACCCAGGGTCAACTCTAAGGTCAGACACTCCTGTGGGGAACCCCTCTTGAGCTCCCCCATATTGGCTCTACTCATTAAGTGCTAGATGTTAGAACCAACATGTGGAACTTCAAGATGAGCAAAGAAGAGTTTGAAATTTTTATTGGTGAGGATACCATCACTAATCCTCTAGGAATAGCCAACATGAAATTTATATTGCTAGATCCTAGGCTTCTAAGGAAGAAAAACTAAACCTTAAAAAAAAGTGAGCTCAACACTTGAAACGATACGTATACTTGCGTAGTACCCCATAGTGTGAAGATTTCTTATCTATTTTATAAATCATTTCATTTATTCACATTAGTCACTAAATATAATTTAGGTTAAGTTTTTGGCAATCTTTTGAAGTAAAAAATATTTACGTAATTGCGGGTTGGGTCAGTGGCAAGGACCAAGTTCCAATCGTGCACATCATAAGACTTTAAATCTCTCTTGTAAAGCTAGTCTTCATTTATTTTATTGGTCTCTCAACTTTATTTTTTAATTAAGGGCGGTTGTGGTTCTATTATGTCTTTCTTGCTGGTTCTGTCTTCTCATATTTACTGTACCTTTTCTTTCTTCTCATGGAAGATTCGAGAACATCAGACTTTTCTACCTCCTTTATCTTGGTATCCAATACCATATTCCTTCTTCCATAAAATTCTTGATATGTAATATCAATCAACTGACTCATAACTAGCTGATGAATGATAATTACTTAATATGACGAACTTAGATTCTCAAGGTATTTGTAACTCATGGATTTTCTGGATATCTTGTTGGAAGCCATAATTGCCCTCCAAAAGTTCTTCCATAAGGTGATTGTTCGGTTGCTCCAAAACCTCAATATACCACTGGGGTCTCCTTAGACCGAACCTCACAACTGCCTTATACTCTACTATATCAGTTGCTATCCTCCTCTGTGTGTAGGGGTGTAAACGAGCCGAACACGAGCGAACCATGCTCAGCTCGTGTTTGGCTCGTTTATATTTCGAGCTAAATCGTGTTCAAACGAGCCGAACACGAGCTGTTTACGAACAAAAAAATACTTTTAACAACCATAATCATGTAGCCATAAGACATAAGACAACAAGGATTTGAACAAGATTTAAAAATTATTATTTATATTAAAACATCATTTGAATCTAATTTAATAATTTTTATTTTATTTTCTTAATCAATATTTTAATTGATTATAAATCTTTGTAGCCTTGTAGTCAATTAGATTTTTTCAAATACTACTTTTATAAATATATATATAAACTTGATGAGTAGTATTTCGAGCCAAAACGATCCGAACACGAACAAACACATCTTAGTTCGTGTTCGGC